GATAGATCTGTAGAGATAATAATATGCATCAAAAACCAAGCCATAGCAAGATAGGCGATCAGTGAGAACACAGCGATGGCAACAAAAAAGGAAACCAATTACCCACAGAATAAATTAATTAAAAGAAAAATATTTTAAGCAGAAAGAAAAACCTGTAAGTAGATCACGGTCTGAGTTTTGATCTCTAGGCGTGTCCTTCAGTCAGGACCAATGGGATACCATGCTCTGGCCCCCCAAGTCTGTCCTTTGTACTCCCTCGGGGGCTCTCTGCTCTGTTCCCACAGTTGCTCTGCTGCACGCTTTTAGTGGTTTGCCTCGGTGTCTCAGGGTCAGTCTGGGCCAGTCCCGACACTGAGTCTGCAGTGTTGTCCCCCTTAGAGCTCGGGGCCATCAAGGGACGGCGTGTCTCATAGTGGGATCAGCCATAATGTCCACTCTGTCCATTGGCTGTTCAGAGTGGGGATGTCGTCCTCCAGGCCTGGTGGGTCAGGATGTGCTCCACTGTCTCTTCCTCCCCATAACTGCTCCCATTTGCTCTGATCAGACATGTCCCCCTCCCCTAACTGCAGCTTCAGTGCTGTCCTCTCAAGTAAATTCTTCCGGGGGCAGGGGCATCCCATTCTTTTTAAGGTTACCCAGAGTTGGTTACGATCTCCACAGTCGTATACCTTGACATAGTCAAACACAAGTAAACAGCTTTCTGGTACGCTCTGCTTTCCGCCAAGATCCATCTGATGTCAGTGATGGTGTCTCTTGTTCCGTGTCCTCTGCTGAATCAGGTAGATGTGGTTGGCAGCTCCTGGTAAATGGACGGCTACAACCATTGTTGGAGGGTCTTGATTTTCTTTACGTTGAGGTCCAATCCAGCTGGTAAGTTGTCATCAAACCAGAGAAAGACCCCCAATGAGAAGGCCTGACACAGGGGCTGCAATAATTGACTTACACAGAGCAGCCACTGTGAGGATGCGACAGGCCGGGTAGTGGCTCACGCTGTTGTCCATCGGACTGTTATGAACTGGAATCAGCTTGACAGCACCTGTTTCCCCCAAAATAAGACTGTGTCTTATATTAATTTTTGCTCCAAAGATGCGCTAGGTCTTATTTTCAGGGGATGTCTTATTTTTCCATGAAGAATACGGTACACATTATTGTTTTATTAAAAGAGACCTCATACTTCCTGTCTGCTCCGGCTGCATGGCGGTGCCCACCGCTATGGTCCAGAGTCCAAAGTTACGGTAGCTTGGGGGGGGGCTTATTTTCAGGGAGGTTTTATTTTCGGGGGATGCCTGATACGTCAGTGAGAGGCAAAGCTGTAAGTAGGTCTTATTTTCGGGGGATGTCTTACTTTCGGGGAAACAGGGTAACAGTGATGACTACGGATGGGGTGGTAATGTGAAATGGCTGGGTCTGGCTGTTCTACCCCCAAGTCTTTGTGACTAACAGCCAGTAAAAGAAAGGGTAGAAGACTCCCTCTCAGGGAGTGACCACCACTAGGTGTAAGCCTAAGCATCTCAGGAACTAAGGAATCCTGCAACCATCAAGAGAGCCTCCAGTGGAGGACAGAGGCCCGAGTGGTGGAGGCTGCAGAGGCCCCAGCAGAGTGGACAGCAGTACTCAGACCGGGAGGGTGGGGTGTAAAGGGGGAACTGATTACAAGGATCTACATGTGACCTCCAGGGAGGACCCTGGGGGATGGACAACAGAAAAGTGGGTGAAGGGAGACGTCAGACAGGGCGAGATATGACAAAATAACAATTTATAAATTATCAAGTGTTCATGAGGAAGGGAGAGTGGGGAGGGAGGGAAAAAATGAGGAGCTGATGCCAGGGGCTTAAGTGAAGAGCAAATGTTTTGAGGATGATGAGGGCAATGAATGTACAAATGTGCTTTATACAATTGATATATGTATGGATTGTGATAAGAGTTGTATGAGCCCCTAATAAAACAATTAAAAAAAACAAAAACAAAAAAGGACCTACATTTAACCTACAGTTCATTACTTGTGTTATATATCTATCTGTTTATAATTTAACTGTTCATTTCTTGTATTATATATCTATCTGTTTATAATTTAACTGTTCATTTCTTGTACTATGTATTTATCTATCTGTTTATAACTTAACAGTTCATTACTTGTGTTATATATCTATCTGTTTATAATTTAACAGTTCATTTCTTGTGTTATATCTATCTATCTTTATAAATATATATATAAAATTATCAGCAATCTGGTTTTATCTCTCTAGAGAACCCTGTCTAACACAATCGGCCATGCTTCATGGGAGATAAGCACACCAGTTCCCTCCTTGAACTCATTCCCAAGTCACGCGTGTGCTTGAGAAAAGCAGACATGAGGATGTATATCGACAGAACCATAAAGATGCTACGAATGGCCATTCTCTATTAATTGAAAATTTTAAGTTACAAACATTGATTCATAAATAGGATTGGGGTGAGAGGAGTGGGGGGACACTTAGCGCCTCACCCTAAAACCAAATACCCTGAGCTTCCGGGACTTCACCGCCTCCATGACAGTCTCTCCCTCCGCCCACAGGGAGGAAGCTGTGGTCTGTCGATGCTGAGGTAAAATCCCACGGGCCTACCTGGGTCCCACGTAATCTCGAAGACAGCAGAGAAAGTAGTGGGGCCGCAAGCAGGGCTGTGGGAAGGATGTGCTTCCAGGTGAGGGCTGGACTTCCTATGTGCGACCGACCCAAAGGCAGGCTTTTCCTGTTAACCATGATTTCCTGTGGAGTCTGCAAAAGGGCAGCCTGAGGCAGGTGGAGTGATCTTTCAGGCACCCCCAGCAGATCTCTCCGTAGATCCCTGGTCCTGACGATTCATGTGTCCCGGGGCCTCCTGGCCCTGTGACAGAGGGATGACTCAGGGCTTCCTGTAGATGTTGACTCGGACCAGGGAGATGCTCTCTGTGTACTTGTGTTGTCCCTTCTCATACAGGATGTACAGCTGTGGGGCCTGCTGTGTCCCACGCATGGTGTCCTCCAGGACAGCCAGCGAGGAGTAGCCACTGGGCCCTGGCCATAGCTGGAGCCTCTCATTCTGCCACGAGGTACCATTGCTGAAGCTCCAGCGCAGGGTCAGGTTCACCCCTAGGGAGATGGCAGTCAGGGAAAGGAGGGGCTCAGCCTGGACCCCTCTCGGGACCCGGGCTCCCTCAGCGGACCCCACCCTCCAGGCACTCACGCAAGTATTGGTGGGCTGGGTTGGAGAAGAAGACAATGCCGCCGTTGGTGGCCAGAACTCCGGCAGCCACCACGGGGTCCACCAGCTCTGTGTCGAAGGTCACGTCGCGGGGCCGCAGCGTGTCACACGCGTCATAGCTGCGGAGGATCATCCGGCAGTGGCAGTGGTAATTGTTCTGGTTCCGGGTGTTGATGACGACGGAGCCATCGGGGAGCTCATAGGGCTGAGGGGAGAGACCAGGGCCTCAGGGGGAGCCCGGCGGGGGGGAGATGGGCCAGGGCACACGCCTCAGTGCCTGAAGGGAACAGGGCCACACGGGGGGGCAGAGCAGGGCAGCCAGGCCCTGCTCCTGAGAAAGCAGGTGGGGCGGCCGTGGGCATGCCTGACCTGGCACTCGTCGGGACTGAAGTCTTGGTCCCTCTTGGGCTTGCCGTAGGGGATGCCCGTGATCCCGCTCCCGTAGTGCCAGGAGGCGCCGTGGTCATCACTGAGCAGGCAGTAGACGCCGTCCCGCTCCAGGGTCCCGTGCCCACACACGATGAGCCTGCCCTTCCGGGGCTCCCACTGCTTCTGCGGGACGCGAGGTGCTGGGTGTCAGAGGGAGGCACGGCAGGGGCAAAGGCACAGAAGGGGCACCCACATTGGGTGGGACCATCGCCTGGCCCCAATGTTCAATGAAGACATGGGTGGTCCCCTTCGGTCTTCCTTGCTCAGTGGGGGTCCCAGGAGGATCCCACAAACCCCCGGTATCTGAACTCAGCTGCTCTTTCAGAATTAGCCTGTCAGGACGTGCAAGGTGTGCGGCTGGACACAGTTGGCAAGGACCTAGCCCAGGGGGCACACGGGAGCTCACACCTGCCCTATTCTCTTTGCCGACTGTGTACCCTGGCACGGGCTATCTCTGCCTAAAGCAAGGGGTGGCTCGCTCTAGTTTGTACCACACGGACCAGAACAGCCCTGGTGACAGACCAGTGATAATACAGTGAACCCTCGCCACTTCGCGCTTCGACTTCCGCGGCTTCACTCTATCGCGGTTTTGGCGTAACAGCGCATGCTCTGTCATTACTGCCACTGATTGGCTCATACTGTACATGCTTGATGCCATAAATAATATAATAAATAATAAATGATCATTGTCCAAAATGTTTTACTGTATTTTCCCTTTTTCGTGTAATAAATTGGGTAATACGAGTGTAATGGTGACTAAAGGGTGTTTCTTCATGTCCTCTATGCTCTAACTACGAAAATATTTGATTTACAAATAAGGAATCCTACTTCGCGGGATTTCATTTATCACGGTAGGGTCTAGAATGGATGAACCGCGATAAACGAGGGTTCACTGTATTCTACGTTTCCTCGGGGGCCCGTTTCTCCTGGCGTTCCTTTGCTTCTGTTGAATCCCACCTACGATGGGCCGCCTGACTGCACAAGTTCCTCTTAAGACAGAGTCAAGGGGTGGGCGGTGGAAGAAGAAGCCCCTCTTGGGGTGTCTGCCAGATTCCCCACAAAACAGTACCTTGCCCCCACCATCCCAGGATAAACACCTGAATGCCTGAGCCGGGTCCAGGGGCAAACACCTCGGTGCCGATGTCCAGGGAGAGGTTCTGGGGTTTGCTCCAGGAAAGGCCGTCATCCTTGCTCCACACGAACATGGTGGAGGCCACTCGGCAGCCGGTGTAGTGAGCGCAGAGGGTGTAGAAAAGGAACACCGTGCCCGTCTCCGCATCGCTCACCACCGCCCCTAGGTTCAGCCCGTCGGGGGTCTCCCCGTCGTCTATGATGAACTCTGTTGGGGACCACGTGTCCCCTGAAGAGACAAATGGGAGACGGTCAGGGTGAGACCCAACAAACCATTGCAGCTGAGTGGGTTCTGACGGTGAACTTCCGGGAGCAGGGGGCCAGGCTGTTCTGGTGAAGCCTTCTGGGTGGAGTCCACCACCCATCTGTCAGTTGGTGCCTGAGCACAGAGCCATTGGCGCCGTCCAGGGACCCTCCCTTTCCACCAATTCACCAACAGTTTCTTGCTTTCTGTAAGGGACGCCCAGGTCTAATGGCCTGGAGGCCCTACAAGATCTGTCCCTCCTTACCTCTGACCTTGTCTCCTGTTCTTTCCTGACGCTCTCCAGCCAGCCACCCCCAGGGCCACTGTCCCTTGGGGCCTTCGCACAGGCTGACACCTCTGCCTGGAGCACTCTTCCTCCACCAGGCTCGCCGGCACCTGCTTTGAGCCTCTGCTCAAGTGTCCCCTCTTTAAAATCTCAATCCCACACGCCCAAGCGTCCTCCTATCTCTTGCCAGGTTTTACTTTTCCCCATCGGCCTTCTCACCTTCCAACACAAAATCAACTTACGCCTGTACAACCACTGCGGAAAGCGACAGAGCGCCGCCTCAAACACGTGGCAATAGAAATCCCACAACACTTCTGCGGGGCATATGCCCTAGGGAAGAACCAGCCCCAGCAAGAACGGACAGATGCACTTCCGTGTTCAGCACATCACGGGTCACAATAGCAAGAAGTTGGAAACAGTCCAAAGGTCCATCGGTAGAAGAATGGAAAACGAAACTTGGTTGAACTATGGAATGATATCTGTATTAACCCCCAATTAATAATAACGTTTTAAATAGAAAGAAACTTGGGTCCATACACACATCGGAATACTGTGCATTGCACTGCACAAACAAGCAAATGAAAACATGAAGCACCTCATGACATGGATGGCCCTGGAGAGAAGTGAGTGCATCACACAAGGCCACGTATTGTTGTATCAGCCCATTACTCTGTGGGTCAAAAGCAAGACAAAGTCTTGTATGCCAAAGGGAACAGCCGTTGGAGGTTCCCGAGAGAGGGAGGGAGGGCAAGGATGGGAAGACAGAGAAGTAGGGGGTCCGGGAGTGGCTATGGATGGAATTTTATAAGTCAAGACATAGCGGGACAAGGCAGTGTTTTCTTGTCATCTGCAGCGTCGCTAGGAGTCCGAACCCAGTGGACCGCACTTACTAACAACAGCACCAGCAACATCACCTCTGAGGTTTCCAGCCTCCAATCACCCTCGCACCCTACAGTCTCCCGACCCATGCAACCTACACCCACTACTGCCACGCAGGCATCTGCATACCCTGGTCAGTGGACCTCCGCAGGGCGATGAACTTGGCCCCCTGATCGTACTCGGATAATTTTCGGGCTTCGGCGAAGGCAAGGAGCGTGCCCCGAGGCGTGGCGGTGATGAGTGGGATGCGGAAGGCGTCCACCGAGCCAATGCGCTTTCCGCTGACCCATAGCTGCTGCTCCGTGGCCACCGACGGCCGCACCTGCGACGGGAGCAGACGGACCAACGTGTGACTGTGCGGACGGATGGACGGGGACGCGGGACCCCCTGGGACAGGGGCGGGGAGGAGGGTGACCGCAGGGCTCGGAGCCCAGAGGGAGGCACCGGGCCGGGACGCTGAGTATGAAAGGGGCCGGGCGAGGGGCGACTCACCAGGGAGAAGTGGTCCCGGACCCCGGCTGCGAATCCAGCCAGAGACCACAGCAGCAGGAGGATGGAGGCGGACCCCCGAGCCCCATCGTCCCTGGGGACCCCCAGCGCCAGCGATCCTCGGGATCCGTCCGGGCGCCGTGGCTCCACGGTCATCGTCTCCGCAAAGCAGCCACGGCGAGAGCCCCGGAGCCGGACAGGGGATTGGAGCCCGAGGGCTGAGCTGGCCCTTTAACGCTCAGGTGTTTCCCTCGCCCCGCCCCGAGACCGCCCCTCCGCCGGGTTCCGCGCCTCCCATTGGTCCGCGAGTGCCTCGTGACCCGGCACCGCCCCCCGAGACAGCTGGCCAATCAGCTCTCTGGCACGTGACCCGGAAACGAAGCTGATTGGCTGAGGGGAGACGCCAAACCCCGCTGGCGCCTTTTTACCCGTCGGGGGGCGCCTGAGCGGGCGGTGTGTTTTAAAGAGCCTTGGCGGGAAAAATGGCAAGTTTTAGGCTTGTTGAGAAAACAAAGTATCAGGTGTTTTTTTTTCTTCAAAGCATCAGTCTTTAATAAGACGTGTTTACTACAAAATCACAGTCTGGGAGTCGGAGCGGAGCCGGGCGCTGTACCGGCGGCGCAGGCCCGCGATGGGGGCAGGGCGGGCTTCTCACTTCTTTTTCTTCTTCTTGTCCCCCGGGGGCGCCTCGTTCTTCTTGCCCAGAATCTGCAGGAGGGACTTGGACATGTAGTAAGGTCGGTCCAGAGAGCCGTCGTTCCGCTCCAGGTCTTCCACTGAGCCGCAACACAGGCCGGTCAGAACGGACACCCCCACCCCGTGGAAAATCAGGGACTGGGGGCGGGGGAGGCGCGTGCCGGTGGATCCAGGGTGCACCACCTTCCTAGTCGCACTTCCTTCTTGCAAAGTTAGGTCAGTGACACTATGCTTCCTAGAGCGCGGTGGGTGACAAGGTGCGCAGTGCACGTCAGTTGCTCCAGAGCCTGCCAATCCTCCAGAAATCCGTGCACCCAAAGCAAACCCCCAAAACAAGCCCTTTGCGGAGAAAGGGTTCTGACTAAAGGCGACCCCGTGCGTTACCGAGTGGAATTTGCGCACCATAGGAGTGCTGTAATTTTTTCCCCCACCGGTTTTTGGCTGAGGGAGAAAGGCAGGGCTTTCTACTCTTGGGCAGTTACTGCCTCAGAAACCCGCAGGGGCAGTTCTACCCTGTCCTACGGAGTCCCAGGGAGTCAGAATCGCCTCCATGGCGGTGAGTGAGTTCTTGGCTGTGGTGAACATTGACCACATGGTGGACAGTTTAAACCCACCCCAGGGCGCCTGGGGAGACAGTCCTAGCAGTCTGAGCCTACAGAACAATCCGTGGGATTGCTGTGGGTTGGAATTAAGCTGATGGCCGTTAAAAGTGGCAACAGCAATCTACAGAGGCAGATGAACAAGGTCTTTCTTCTGGGGCACTGTGGACGGTGGGGTCCAAACAACCAATCTTATAAAAGCCTCCCCCCAAAAAACCAAACACTGTCGAGTCCATTTTGACTGATAGCAATCCTATAGGGCAGGTTAGCACTATCCCTGTGGGCTTCCAAGGTTGTCAATCTGTACAGGGGGGAAAAGCCTCACCTTTCTCCCAAGGGGGTGCTGGCAGGTTCAAACTGCAGACTTTGTGGTTGTTAGCCCAACACATTATCCACTACACCACCGGGGCTCCTAGCGTCTATTGAAAGCAGCGATCTAAATGTACACAGTTGGTAAAGCACGCCCTTTTCACTAGAACCACCTAGCTTTCCGGGGAAGGTGGCCAAGGCGTTGCCTTGGAACTAATCCTTCCTGGGGCTCACTCTTGCCTTTCTTCCCCCCTTGTGTGCCCAGAGGATGTCCCAAGAGGCCCTCTCTGACTGCTGGTTGATGAAGTATAGCTTCTAGAGGCGTCACGTCTCTGTGTAGTCCCCCACCTGGAAGGTGGGGGGCAGTGGTCGGGGTGTCACTTACAGAAGCAGAGGAAGAGCGTGTCCACACACATGCCAAAAACGCTGAAGAAGCCGCTGGCGATGACGTAGGCCCCCAGGACGCAGGTCTGCAAGACACAGGGCCCGTTGGGGCTGCTGGGTTCCTGGGGGGAGGCGAGGGGCAAGGCAGAGACGGGGGCACACTCACCATGATGGGCAGCCAGTAATAGTTGAGGTTGGGATTCTCGAAGTCCTTACCCAGCCCCTGGATGCGGCCGGAGAAAAAGAAGAACGACAAGACCCCTGCGGGAGAGGCCTGGAGGTGAGTGCTGCTCCTAGAGGATCCCCCGACCCCCACCCTGAACCCCCTGCCTACTGTCCCCAGGACCCCCGACTCTGGTCCTCACCGATGCCTCCCACCACCAGCAGTTTCCCGAAGAACAGCAGCAGGTCTGTGACGTTATCCAGAACCACCACCCTGTACCGGGAGGGGGGGGGGGTTGGGGTGAGAGGCCCGGCAGGGATGGGAACAAGGTCCATCCCCTGATTTGAAGGGCCAGTGACCCATGAGCATTGTTCAGGTTTTGAGATGCAAACTGTGCAGTCTTGGACTGAGCCCCAGCCCAGGGCCCGTCTGGCCCGTGCGTCTGGCTTGGGTGGGAGCGCCGGGGAGGCGACCAAAGAGGGGCTCAGGGACAGGCTGACCTGAGGATGTTTCTCATGAGCAGCATGAAGGCGTTTTTGGCTGAGGTGCAGAAATTCTTGCCATAGATGGCGATCTGGGGGGAGGGCGGAGGTCAGAGTTACCTGAGGTCAGCCTGCCCGGGGTTAGTCAGGGCCCGCGCCCATGGGCACGGGCGCAAGAGGCTTTTTTGGGTGGCGGCTCACCATGATATATGCATTGTAGTTCAGGAACTTGATGAATTTCTCTAGACACCACAGGCAGCATTTGAAGCAACACATGATGCAGCGGGCCACCGGGTTCTGGGCTTCTGGGGGCGGGAGAGGCCAGAGTTTGGCCACAAAGCCTCTGACAGACTCGCCCTGAGGATCCAGCCCCTCCACCAGCCCGTTACCAGCCCCAACCCCCAACTCACTTCTCAGCTTGTGGTCAATGTACTCCAGAATGACCCGGGCCAGCTGCACCAGGGACAAGATGAGGGCGCCGAAGGCCAGCGACCCAGTGTGGTAACTGTGGAGGGAAGTGGGTGGTCAGAGGTAGCCTCGGATGCCCTGATGCACCCGCTTGGCTAACTCCCAGGCCCTGGCCCCAGGCTTACCGGAGTGTGCGGATGAAGGCCGAACTCAGGGGGAAGGTGGGGATGTCCTGGGGCTTGAGGAAGGCCCAGTAGAAAGAGGCGAAGGCCCCGGCCAGGACGCACTGGCCCAGGGCCAGTACCCAGTTGACAGTCCAGAAGAGTCCTAGGATGCCGTAGATTTGCAGGTTGAAGAGGGAACGCTGTACCAGGCCCGTAGACAAGTAGCCCTGGAAGACACACTTCATCCCTGGACACGAGAAGTTTGTCTGCTCGGCCTAGGAGGGCAGAGGAGGCGTCAGAGAGCTCTGTGGAGTCATGACCTCTGCCCATTCCCAGGCTGCCCGTCTGAGCTAGGGGAGCCAGGGGCATCATGTCTGGGCTCAAACTGCTTTCAAACAGCACTTGTGTAAGTGGACTTGGCTTCCTTTGGTCTCAATGGACACAGTGCCCCGAGGCCACCTGGGGAGAGGTGTAGTGATGTGTGCTGCGGTAGCGTGGACTCAGTGCCCGGCTCCGACCTGCACTCTTAGCTGTCCCTCCCTGCAGGTCTCTGGGGACCTCCGGTCTGACCTAGAAGCCTCACAGCACAGCCTCCATTACAGTCACCAGGACGTTCTTTGGTGAAATGGAACAGACCAGCAGTTACATGATAGGTTCACCTGGCTGGAGGTGATAGTATCACCTGGCTGGAGGTGATAGTACAACTACTCCAGGCGGTGTGCAATGGTGATGATCTTTCAGAAAGGGATCACCATGCCTTTTTCCAGGGCACCTCTGGATGGGTTTCTAGGCAAACACTAACCTCTGTTCGGTTAGTAGCTGAACACTTAATGGCACAAAGCTATCATGGTTAAAACTCAAAACACTAAACTCGCTGCCATGGAGTCCATGTCAGCACATAGCCACTAGTCTCGGAGACTGACTAACTAGTTAGTTACTAGAGAGTTTCTATGAGACTAGACGGCCCATCTTTCTCCCGAGGAGCGGCTGGTGGTTTCAAACTGCTGACCTTGCAGTTAACAGCCCAATGCATAATCACTACACCACCAGGGCTCGCTCCTTGGTACGGTGGTGATGTTTTTCAATGGCTTGATCTGTTGAGATGGCTCCTGATGTGTTTTCAGAAGAAATTGCACGATATGCAGCATTTGCTTCAGAAACCTCCAGCGGGAGGGGAGAAGTTACAGGTAGGGAGTGAGGGCAGGGAGGAAACAAGAAATACAGAAAGCGGCAGGTTGTGGGATCTGAGTGACAGGTACAGGGCTTCATCGTACGATGATCTTGTGTGTGGTGTAAAAGATCCCCAACACAAGGTCAAAACCAAGGGATAAGAAACAGTCCTTTCTGGCAAATGGGACAAAAATCTTGGTAGTGGCCGCCCCTGGTATATGCTCACATTTTTAACGTAAGAAAATAAACAAACCACTTTTGACTTCGCCTGTGACAGTGGGTTTGTCTATGTGCTACTAGATCTCGAGCAAGTTGAAGCCAGGATCAGGTCATTTGGGGCACTGTATACATGTGACTGCACATAGTAGGTTCCCTGTCAATGTCACTGAGCCGCCCTTCTCTTTCAAGCAGAGCGGGTCTGATGCCTGCTGCCCAGCCCACAGTGCCAGCTGAGATGAGCAAGGCTCAGGGGCGAAATTCCAAGCAGGCTGGGCCCAGGGCCATGCCCTGGGCACCTCACCGAGCAGTTTCTGGAAGCAACCATGCCCGACAAGGAGTGCCCAGATATCTACTGCCCAGGCAGACTGCGTTCCCAAGGAGAAAGGCTTAAAATAAAGGAAACCCAAGCACATGTTATCAAGTTCTTATCTGGTGCCAGGCATTGTACTAAACTCCCTGTGTACCCAGCGTGTCCCTTACTCTCTCAGCCACCCGTGGGGCATGCATTGTAATGGTCTCCATTGTACCGTGAGTGGACGGGCTCAGACAGCAGGGGAACACGTTCCAGGCCCTCAAGGGTGGGAGACCCTGGGGAGGGAGGGCCCCAGAGCCTGTCCCTGACCTCCGGCTTCTCCTGCTGCTTCTCAACCTCAGGAGCCATCTCTGCCTAATGGGTGGGTTTGGGAGTACAAGATCAAGAGTCAGGGGAAGTCCCTTGTGCTGGGGCACCTGCATGACCTTGAGTGAGTGGCTTGCCCTCTCTGGGCCTCAATCTTCTAAGTCCAGTGAGGGATTTGGGTCAGCAGGCCGCCGTTAACGGATTGCATCATGTCCCCCTCTCCAAATACGTGTGCGTGTTATAAAGGCTAACCCTTATGCCTGTGGTTATAATTTTGAGAATGGATTCTCCTTGCTATGTGAATGAGCAAGTATGGGTTTTAGATCAGTCTCTGGAGATACGGTGAGCAGACCGGGGGAGCAAGCACAGCTGGGGGAGTCCAATGCCAAGTCACAGGACGACCAATGGGGAGCAGAGGCACGAAGGACAGACACAGAATGAGGAGTGAGCCTGGATTCAGACTGAGAAGATGCGTGTGCTTGTCTAAGCCTCCCATGTGCGGTCTTTCTGTTCTGACAGCACCCGAGAACACACGTGAGCCCTGGGCTCCCCGCCCCTGGTGTCTGCTGGTGCCACTCCCGGCCCACCCTGCCCCTCCTCACCAGAGGGTCACAGGACTCATTCATGGATGCTTTCTCACAGCCGGACACACTCGTGTTGGGTGCCCACAGGACGTACTGGGGTTGCCCTGAAGTGGCCAGGTACCCAAAGGCAAAGTCAAGGAAAAGAAGGTCACACAGGGTCTCCCTCCGCAGGTCCTTTTCCCAGGGCCGCTCCGTGCTTGTGCAAACCGCCCCGAACAAACCCGCTGCCCTCCGGATGCTCCCGGGTAGGACTGCACCCCAAGGTTTTCCTCCGTCACCACCGAGCTACTGAACGGGTTCGGGCCGTCAACGTTTAGGTTAGTAAAATCCCAAAGCAAACTGCCTGCCACCGACGCAATGCCGACCCTAACGACCTTCCCGGACGGGGTGAACTGCCCCGCTGGGTTTCCAAGACTGGAACTCTGGAAGGACGCAGAAAGCCCCGTCTGTCTCCAGAGCAGGGGCAGGCGATTTTGAACTGCTGACCTTGCAGTTAGCAGCCCAATGGGTAACGGCTATGCCACCAGGGCTCCTCTTAGGTTGGGAGTTGAGCACAACCGTTTTTTTGGCACACAGGGGCCCCAACATCCTCTGCAGAGGGGGAGCTGAAGTGCAGCCTGTGCCCGCCCCTTCCCCTGTGTACAGATGTTGTCAGTCCCCTCCAGGGGAGCCTTCTTCCCACAGCATGAAGGCAAGCGGTGCCCTGCCCCCAGCCCCAGGACTCCGGCCACAGGGGCAAAGGATACAGAGCCGTCATGGCCCAGTAGGCGATGCAGATGACCAGGAGGACAAAGGTGACCAGTGGGTAGAACATGGTAGACATCATGTACCCCACAGCCCTGCAGGGAGACAAGGATGCTTAACGGCACGGCCGGGCCTTGGCCAGGGCCCACGCCTGCAGGCTGGGGGCAGCCGCAGGCACAGGGTCTCTCTGGTAGCATCCTGGTGCCTGGGTGGGGCCCAGTACACAGTAGGTGCTTGCTGGGTGAACTGAATGGAACAAATTGAGCTCACAGGATCCTGACGGGAGACCTATGTCAGAGAGACGACTCCCTCCCCTCCGCCCTCAGGTAGGGTCTCCGACGGTCCACAGGCTGCTCCATGGATGGGACAGGTCTTGGCTGGAAAGAGGTGGTGGCCTCCATCCTACCCATCAACCACCCCAGGAGGACAAGTCATTCTCCTGCCCCAATGGAGCGCTTGGTCCTGGACAGACACGAACTCACGGGCTCCCTAAGACAACCCCGCAGCGGGGACCGTGGTCAGGGCTCCCACTGTACAGCTAAGCGAAGTCGCATCGTGGTGTGAACCTCACGCTGCCCTGTCCTTGTCCCCCGGCCTCCCCTGGGCCCGCCTCCCTGGGAGCAGGCCCTGACCGGCTGGCCTCCTTCAGGAGGGCGATGGCAATGCGGATGCGCTGCCGCAGGAAGATGAGCATCAGCAACAGCACGCCTTCCAGGACCGCCAGCAGGATCACTGTGGGCAGACGGGGCGGGCAGGCTGGGCCTGGGCAGCCTTTGGGACTCGCGGGGGGCGGGGGGCACTCACAAGCAGCTAGCCAGGTCTCCTGCACACTGCGGTAGGCGCTGAGGTTGAAGGTGAAGCCCAGCTGGGTGATGGAGGCGCCCTTGTCCCGCAACACTCGGTACTCCTGCCAGCAGTGGTAGATGCCATATGCCAGCACAGCCAGCACCCCCAGGATCAGCACCAGCACCAGGGGCCCGGCCACCAGGCGCAGCAGCAGGATAAACAGCAGGCTGAGGACCAGAGCTATGCCGAGGGCACTGCAGGCAGGGTGAAGCCAGCCAGGGTCACCCCTGGCTGCTCAAATCTTTCCTCTTTCAGAGACACCCCCCCACCCCATCACTTCTCGGCCTTTTGGCTAAGATCAAGTGCAGAGACCCCCCCACCCCACCCCTAGTGTATCTGGATGAGACATCTCCCTCCTCAATCCAGCTGGGCCTGGGGCCATTCTGGCCTCTGGCTCTTGCTTCCCTGTTCCCAACCTCAGGCGTCTGAGGTCTGTCTCTGCTGGTGGACTGGGGGAGAGAGGAGCGGGGAGGGGAGAGGCCAGGAGGATGGGGGACTCACATAAGGATCCAATACCAGGAATGGGCAAAATCTTCAAAGACCTTGACGCTGATGTCACGGGCATTCAGGCTGTCAAGAAGGCCGCTGTCGGGGAGATGGGGTCACACAGGCTCTCGGGAGGGAGGAGGAGGGCAGTGTGGTAGAGGTAGGTGGTGGGAGGGGCAGGGAGACCCACCTGATGCCCTGGGAGATGTTGCCTGTGATCCCAGGGAGCTCTGGCTGCGTACTGTTGGGCCACGGGAAACAGCGCCCCAGAGCTGCAGAGAGTGGCGGGACCAGGTGGGCCCGTCCAGAGCTCAGCTCCAAGTCTCTGCCACCCCCCACCCCCACCCCACAGATCCCCCAGGGCAGGGAGGAGTAATGGTTCCCGCTGGGGGTCAGCAGAGCCGACTGCTCTGTTGCACACCACCCTGTGGCAGCTCCTGCCCTAAAATGCCCAGTCACCGGGGGCTGTGGTGGTGGAGTGGGCTGCTAACCCGCCCATGACGGGGTCAGCACTTTGAACCCGCCGGAGCAAGATGACGCTCTCTACTTGCATAGTGGCAGCCTGGGAAGCCCACAGGGGCGGGTCTACTCTGTCCTAGAAGGCAGCTCTGAGTGGGCACGGACCCCGTAGCAGCGCAGTGGGTCTCCTCGCAGCCCCTCCCGACTTCCACCCCTCCCTGCCCCCAGCCACTGCAGAGCCTCAGTTCAGGCCTTCACCCCCGGGGCCTGAACTAGAGCCTCTGGCCCGACAACCGGAGCCAGCCTTTAAGGAGACCGCAGACGGGCACGCAATGCCAGTGCAATGATCTAAAGCAGCATTGCACCCCCCACCCCCAAGAAAAGCAGACCCTGATTCCAAAACCCCAAACTCACTGCCATCGAGGCAATGCCCACTTACTGCCCTTTTGGGTCTCTGAGGCTGTCACTCTCGACAGATGTGGAAAGCCCTCTTTCTCCCATGAAGCCACTTGTGGTTTCAAACGGCTGACCTTGCAGTTGGCAGCCCAGTGTGGGACCACGATGGTACCCGGGCTCCTCTGGCCATCTCATTAGAGCTGAGTTTGACCCAATAGAGCAAGCTTTTAAGTTGATGATTTTGTCTGGCCCGTGATTGATGCGATGAATATCCAAAGGGCCCTCGGCAGAAAAAAAAGGTTCCCTGCCCCTGAATTAGATTTTTCTCCTGCCTGCCAGGAGCCTTGGCTCCGGCTCCCCTCCCGGCCTCCAGGAAACCTTCTCAGCCCCCCAGCTCCGGGGGCACCTGCTCTGTGCCTACAGAACCCACGACTGTCAAGGCTTTGTCCGGCCACTTGGCTTTTTGTGGCCACCAACATTCCAGAGACAAGGCAACCCAGCTCTGAGACGTTGAGCAGCCCAAGATCACAGCGCTGGAAAGTTCCAGCCCTGGGACCGAGAGCTCGTGGACTCGGAGTCGTTCTTTTGGGACATACAACTGGGGACTGGTGATCGATGTTCATGCTTTAAAGAAACCCCAACCAAGAACAGTTACTGGTGGAAAGAAGTGTCGATGGGTGGGGGTGGGGGCGTCAAATATTGTCCTACGACCAAGCCACTTTCAGCTGGACTGTTTGGGCACCATTTCCCCATGTACCTACAACCCCTTGTGTGTGTAGTATGTGTGCGTGTGTGTAGGTGCTGGTGGCACCGATGGGTAAGCATCGGACCGCTAATCTAGAGTTTGCAGCCTAAACCAACAAGAAGTTCCTTCGAGGAAAGACAAGGCTGTCTGATCTGATACAGATTTACAGAGCCGCGGGACCCTAGATAGTGACTGGATGGCTGTGGGTCTGGCGTTGGGGTTTGTGCGTGTGTGTGTGTGTGTGTGTGTGTATAGATTCACCCATGGATGTGTTCAGAGGCGTTGCTCTCTCTGTGAGCATCTCTGCTCTCCCTTTCCAGAATGCCCCGCCCCCCCAGGCAGGAAGCAGTCGTCACCTTCCCTGCCTCCCTCCCCAGGGCCTGGCACAAAGTACCAAGCCTGCAGGGTCTAGTCAATTCCACTCATCACGAGCCCCTGGGGCTGCAGAGTAGCATGGCGGTGACCTTGCCTTTCTTCTGAGATGCCTCCGGGGGGGCGGGGCTGGAAGCCAACCTTGAGGCTAGCACACCCGCTGGCCTGGAGTCAGATCCAACCCTCGTGACCACACGGAGCCTCTGAGACGGTAAACCTTTGTGGGAACGGCCGGCCTCATCTTTCACCCTCAGAGCAGCTGGTGGATTTGAATGGCCAACTGGGCCGAGAGGGCGCCTTTCATCAGGTGCAAGCCATTGGTGCCACCCAGGGACTCACGGGCCCACAGACAGTGCCCCATCCACACAGGGGACCCGAGGGCAGGGTCGTGCAGCAGAGACCCTCCCGGCCTGGCATTCTCGTTGGAGCCACACCATCTTAGACGAGAAAGATGGGTACTTCTCACCTGGACTGGAAGGGAGGAGGAAACTGGGGCAGAACTCTTGCTTCAGGCTCGTGAGCACTGGCTGAGGGGGAGGGAGGGAGGGAGAGGGGCAGGGCAGACAGACACAGAGGGAGAGAAGAGAAGAGATGGCAGGGCGGCAGGAGGGAGGGGGAGTCCCTCCTTGCGCTCAGCTGGCCCTGTCCTCCACAGCAGAGCCTCACTGGCGACCCTCCACCCCGTGTGCTCGTGACCCGTCTCAGGGATGCTGGGGCGGCCCTCACCATCTCAGGGGGCACGCCTGGCACACAAACGTTCCTGTTGGCCGCGTAGAAAACCTCCCCGACGGTCTGGGAGAACGAGCTAGCGTCCACTGTCCAGGAGGATTCCGGGCAGGAGGACACACACACCTGGGGGCCACAGAGTATGTGAAGGGGCTGGCATTCAAGGCTGTGGGGAGGGGGCATGGCGGGCTGGGGCAGAGGCAGAATGGGCTCTGACCTGGGGCGTGGGGCACTGCAGGCTGCTTGCAGCGGCCGTGATGATGTTGGTAGCCAGGATGCAGTTGAAGATGTTGAAGTACAAGAGATAGGGTTTGTCCCTGTGGGAGGGGAGAGTGTGGTGGTATCAGGGCCAGGTCAGGACTGCAGTGGGGAGGGGGGAGAATTGCCGGCCAGCGCTTTCTCAGTGGTACAGTGCGTCTAGTGCAGGAAGGGCATGTTACACCCATCCAGGGAAGTTCCCTCCAGTGGAAGTGGTGGAGTGACGCCCATGATTCTCAGCATCATTGCCCCTGTGTACTCTGGAGCCATTCCTGCACACTAGCTCGTGGCCACGGCCCCTCACAGCCATGGTTCTGTCTATAGAAAACACCTCCCTCACCAGGTTTCCCTGAGCTGGGGTGTGCAAAGCACAGCGCCTGCCGGGAACACAGTCCGTGTTCAGAGGTTTCATTATCCGTTGAATTGAAACTGACTGCATGCTAACGCTAGAATTAACACCAGCCCTTCGGGAATCATCCTTGGGTCTCGGAGCAGGAACTCGAAGCTCAGAAAGGGCCTATCAGGCCCTGCAACCAGTGTTCCAGTGGGGAGGACGCCTCCACTGAGTCCCTCGAATATGGCAGGGTGCACTGCCAAGCGGATCAATGCAGATACAGTGGGGTTAAGATTGACCCCCCGAGCATCTCTCAACCCTTTTTCATAGGTTTAGTCTCTATCATTTCCTGCTGCCTTTGGGCACGAGGCTTTTCTGTTTTCAGTTTGTTATAGTTGCTAGGTGGTTTTTGTTTGTCTTGTGTGTGTGTGTAAGATTTTCTTTATATCGAATCCGGCGTAGGTAAAACTACAGAGACAGTCACTAGCTGACGAGTTCCTTAGCGTGATGGCGGGGGGAGGGGGAGCGGATAACAAGGAAGAAAGCGTCCCCCCACGGATGGTGGTGATGACTGCACAACTCGGGGTGAGATCGTGCTGCGCTGTGCGTGAATCAGATGTCAATCAGACTGTTACACATCAGAGAGGCCATGCACACAGCACTGGCATGCCAGCCGGCGTGGGTCTCCACACCGTAGACCCGTGCGCTCAACTATGCCTAGAAGCCAGCCACGGGCCGCCCGTTCCGCCTCACCCAAGGCAGCTCCCGAGGGCAAGGCGGACTGGCTCCATGAGAGGCCATGCCAGCAGCTGATTGCCAGGCTGGCTTCCCAGTTGCCTCTGGGGGTGTTTGAACTGTCAACCTCAGGCTAGTCATCGAGCGCTGCTTGGCCAGGGTTTGCACCACCAAGGGGCACCTCGTGACTGCACAGCCTCCCAATTCTGGCAACAGAACCTTCCTCCCCGGCCGTGGCCATGGGCTTCAGGCCCACTGTGGCTGTGAGGCAGGGAGTGGAGGAGCCGTGTTGCGTATGGACCAGGGGTGAGGGGAGCGGTGCCCTGCCACCCCCGCCCCCCTTCCATCACACTCACTTGTTCTGCCCCAGCCCGCAGTACGCCCCGGTGGAGTTCCTGGGGTAGAGCACTTGCCGAGGGTCTCCGTACACCCAGGCTGGAGACAGAAACCAGGGCCGTCACTGGGGGTGGGGACTTGGGTCGGGAGCAGCTAGACCTGGTCCTCCCTGGGCTACTGCCCCAGCTCTGGGCAGCCGGACACTCACCCACGATGCCCACCGCGACGTAACCCAGAATGAAGAGCAGGAAGAGTACGCAGCAGATGACGTCCGTGCAGCCCCTGGGGGAGGCAGGGGGGGCCTGGGCTCAGGACCCCAGGGTGGGGAGGGGGTGGGGGGCAGGGGAGGAGTACAGAACTAGAGAGTAGAGGTCCACATTTTTCAAGATTTCTCTTTGGGGGCAGGGGTGGCAGGGCACCCCTAAAAACTTTTTAGTAAAATGTTAACAGAAGTATACAACTCGGGAATGTCCCCCCCCAGCCTCCCGCACACAGGCCCGCCCCTTTTCTTTTGTCACCAGCACCTCACCAGTTTCAGCAAGCACCCCGTGAAGCCAGGCCCAACCCACTGGGGCCCAGACTCACCTGCTCTTGATCGGGCCTCGGAAGGAGGGGTCATATTTGACTGGTTTCCCTGAACGGGACCGGGAGGAGGGTGGAGAATGAGACCCAGAGGGGACGCTCTCCCTTCATTCACCCCCTGGCCCTCCCCACTTCTATCTGGCAGAGGAGCGTGGGGGGCGGGCTGGGCGCCAGACCTTGAACTCTGCTTGGGGCTTTGGCAGGAGGTGGGAGGGGGCTTTATGAGCCATTTCCGGCTCACATGTCAAGGCCGTCAGTCTGGGGCAAGTGGGTTTCCTGGCTCCACTCTGGCCTGGTTCTCCTGTCTCCCTCCCACTGGACGTGGGACTCTGGGTCCAGCCATCTCCGTGGCTCTGGCACCCGCAGCCTCATCCCTCTCCCCCATACCCTGCCCTAGGACCACAGCTATCTGAGTCCTCCCCTCGTCCTGGGAGATCACGCAGCTGCCCACACATCTGTCTTCTGTCTCAGCGGGGCCTCCTTTCACTCTCTGGCCTGATGCCTCCGGGAGACACTGGAGTCCCCAAGCCACCCTTTGCTCCCATCGGAAGTCATGGTGACAGCTGAGGCTGGCAGTTGGGACGGTGGCCTGTTCCTGGTCCTCTCTGAGCACCCAGGGAAGGAGGTGGATAGGTAGACAGGTCCCCTGGTAGGGAGGGCGGGAGGAAGACTGGGCCAGAGGCTGGGGAGGGGTGGGGCTCATTTTCCCGGACTCTATTTTACAGGTCAATGATTGACCTAAGGCCAGTCCAGGAAGTCTGCTTGGTACTTTCTCACCACCCCTTCCCTCAGGAAGGCCCCTCCCTCAAGGCTGCCTCTCCTCCAGATCAGAAGTCCAGGCCCCCAGCCCCTTCAGGATCTCACAGGCAGGCCCAGCCCTTACTGCCCACCGGGCTCCCTAGGATAGGTCCCCTTCCCTTCCCACCAGAAGCCCGACACCTGTTTCTCTGGACACCTGAGGCAGGCTCCGGGGGGCCTTATTCCTCAGCCCCCGAGAGAAACTGCAGAACCTTTGCCCCTATCCCTCAGGCACCCCGAAATCCTGTGCCCAGATCCCCATCTGCAAAGAGCCCCCCAGCTCCTAACTCCTCAGAGCAGCAGCAATAATACCCCTTTATCACTCCTTTTAGATCCCAGAGGCTTGGGGTCCTAGTCCCCAGCCCCTTAGAGCCCTCACTGCCCAGGCTCCAGCTCCTCCCCACTCACAGGCACCCAGCCCTTACGCCTCCCTGGGACCCAGCCCCCCCATGCTCCTCTTAGCGCCTGCCCCACCCCAGGCTCAGGACCCTTTCAAACTGCCTCCTTCGAGGGCTTAAGTCCAGGCTGCAACTCTCCCTGCTCTCTTCCCAGGCACTCAATCCCACCTCTGTATGACAAGCCTCCTCACCCCAGCTGGCCCACACCAGCTGGGGCGGCCGCCTGCCAAGGGTCACACTTACTCAGGACCCCTCCCCCGCCCTGCAACCCAGCCCTGTGGCTTCCCATCAGTGGGTTCCCCTGGGCCCTCCCCTGGGGGACCCACAGCTCTCTTCAGCTCCTCTCCTTGGGAACAGCCCAGCCACCACCGGTGTCCTGCAGGGGCCCAGGCGTGGCCCCACTCCCCCTCGCTCTCCTCCCTCTGCGGGGTCTCGGCCTCCATGCCAGCCAGCCTCACCGTTGGCCTCCTCCTTGTGTTGCCCCATGGCTCAGTCTCCGGAGTGATTGGAGCAGGGAGACCTGGCGGCTCACCTGCCACCTGCCCCGCCTTCTGGCCACGTCATGGCCCCACCCCCGCCTGTGGTCCCTGGCACTCCAGTTCCTGGTCCAGTCCTCGCCCAGTGGGCTCAGAGGGCTGAGCCAGCTGGAGGCGGGCACGGAGGGAGCCCGCGGTCCTCAGAGGAAACCCTTCCTGGTTTTACAAAGGACCTCAGAGCGACCCTGGGGGTTATTTTTGTGCCACACCCTGGGGCCCAAGATTAAGTGTCCCATTGTTTTCCAGGGCTTGGTCAGCCCCTGCCCCAAAGTGGCCCCCCACCCTGCGGTCCCTCTGGGCAAGTGTCCACACCAACCACGCCTGTCCGGCCTGCTTCCTCACCCCTTGGACTCACCTGCCCGCCGCCCCGCCCACAGTCACCCAGGCAAGTCATTACCAAACCTGACGTTTAATGAGAACCAGAGAAATCAGCTGGCAAAGAGACCTGATTTCAATGTATCCGATTTCAGCTAAGGGCAGGGAACAGGGGGACGGCCAGCCCTGAAGTGGCGCTCCCAGGGAGGAACCAGCTCTGGGAGAGGGGGCCTGTCAGACCTCCGGGGCCTGGCTGGGGTCTCTGCCCAGAAATGTGTCAAGGGCTAGGGTGGGGGAAGCTGGCAGTGCTGCCCCCAGCGTGGGCTGTGAGCAACCAGTGGCAGAGGAGGCTGCTGACGCAGGGGGGCCATGGGCTGGGGGGGCAAGTGTGGTCCGTTCTCAAGGGTTGACAGGGGCCAGGGAGCCAAGGTCCGGCAGCAGCTCGGGGTGGGGGTCCAGGCGGGCCAGGCGGCTCTGCTCCAGGGCAATGGCCTCAGCGGAGTGCTTGCACTTCTCGGAGCCACACTGGCAGGTGAAGTATTTGCTTTTGATGTCCCAGAAGCGGTCACCATAGTCAAACCTGTCAGTGATTGAGACCTAGAGCCAGCTGGCCTGAGTAACCCCAGGAGGTCCTCAGGCTCCCACCCCATCTTCCCCGGGCGACCGCCACACCCTTCCTTGTGCGGACCTCCTTCTTTAGACCTGTGCCCTCACCATCGCTCAGTGCTCTTAAGAAACACCCAGGGGTCCAGCCATGAACGGACTCAGAATCTCTTTCGAACCCACCTGGGGAACCGAGTGCTTCCCAGCCTTCTGGTCCCGGGCTCACTCTACCCCCCCCCACTGAGGCTGGACCTAGGGGCGCCAGGCCCTGAGACGCCTCACCCCAGCTCCTCCCCGGTCCGGATGTCTCGGGAGCTGAAGAAGGCGATGCGTGGGAACCGCAGGTCTTGGTGCAGCATGAAGACCCGGACGGGGATGATGTTGGGGTCGCACAGGTGGTTGATGAAGCGGCTGATGTTGCCGTAGTAACGGGCATCGATGCAGTACACCTCACCGTCCTGAAGGCAAGGCCAGGACTGCATCTCCCCTATCCCGCTTGCCGGGGGCCCACCTACAAGTGGCCAGCCAGCCCCGACTCCCAAGGACAGAATGGGGGCAGCGGAGCTTCCTGCCCACCTTGTTGTCTAAGTCGAAGAGGTAAGAATCGTCCTCTCTCACGTCGGCCTCGGCATCAGAGATCAGCTCCCCGACATACCTGTTGGGCAGGAAGTGGACATTCTGAAGGTGGGCTGGGCTCTTGGGGAGAAGGCTTCAGGTCCTCCCTCTCCTGAAAGCCAAGTCCTATAGACCCATGTGTCCCAGGCTGGTGGAGGAAGTTGGATATCACCTAGAGGAGCCTGGGACAGGGGAGGACCCCACAATCCAGGCTCCCTACAGAGCAGCAGGCAGGATAAGCAGTTGTCGGGGCAGCGAGAGGCAGGGGGCCCAGGGATGACTTGGAGAAGTCAAAAGGGGAAAGTTAGAGAGCCGGGTTTGAGACCCACAAGAGGATGCCTGGAGAGCCAGGCCTCTGGGGATTAGTATCCCTGGCGGTTCTGGTCGGGAAACTCGCTTGGGCGGAGACACATAATGGTTTGTGTACCCAGCAGGGGGGGGGGAGCATGCAGGGCTGGAGGACAGGAGGGCTCAGGGCTGCCCCCAGTCCAGGGAGATGGAAGGAGCCGGGCTGAGAGGAAGGAGCACACTGAGCAACAAAGGGAGAAAGTGGAGTGGCCCAGGACCGGGGGTTCCACAGTCGAAGGGGTGTGGAAGTGGGGGAGGGTCAGAAAAGAGGGCAGCATCTAGAGGGGGAGGGCAGGGTCAGATTGGGAAAGTGAGTGGATGGGCAGAGGCCCAGGATGAAGGGGGCTACTTGGTGGAGGAGTGGAGAGGATCCGGAGGGAGGGGAACAATGGAAGCTGCCCCCCCACCTGCTATTGACTTGATTCTGACCCTTGGCGCCTGAGGTGTGGCCCAGTAAAACTGTGCTCTCAGGTTAGTTTTCAATGGCTGGTTTTTCGGGATGTGATCACCAGGTCTTTCTTTCACTGTACTTCTGGGTAGACGTGGGTTAGCGGCCGTGCGTACTAGCTGTTTGCACCCCTCAGGGACTCCTGGCTAGGGGAGCTGGGTTAGCTAAAGAGTAAGTTGGAAGGAGCCGGAGGAGTGGGCGGATAGAGGCTGGGCTGAGGAGGAACTGGCGGAGACAGACAAGGCCACTGAAAACGAGGACAGAAAGGTGCCTCTCCATTTTGAAGCCCAGCAGGTGCAGGAAATTGGCCGAGGTCACCACGTCTGAGGGACTCAAGCCCAGGGCTGCCTTTCCCCAGGAGGCAGGGGTGAGGGTGTTAGGCTCAGAGCTGCATGAGGGTAAGGAGGAAGGGGGACGTGGGCGAGGCGTGACAAAGGCTCTGGGTCTGGGCCGAGTGATGCTGTGGGAGGGGTTCGAGGAAGGCTGGCCAGTAGTAGGTGGACAGAAAGGGAGGTCTGGGCAATGACTGCATGCCCTCTCTTCACCCTCAGGTTCCCGGATGCCCAGGGCACTCACTCGCAGATGAAGGTCCCCTGGGGGATGGTCTGCAGGGCGCGGACGCCCCAGCCCATCTTGGCTGTCCTGTAGAGCTGTAGCCGCACCCTGGGGGGAGGAAGGAGGGTGATGTCGGGTGACGGGGCCTGCAAACACCTGAGGGAGGAGGGGCCCCTCGTTCTGTGTGGACAAAGGGGGTGAGCTCACTTGATGCCGCTCTGCACCACACGGTTCTTGCAGTTCCTCCAGCAGGAGCAGGCCTGGTTACACTCGAATATCAGGGGGGGCTCAATCTTGTTAAACTCCTGCAGCAGCCGCCCGTCCTGGGGCCCAGAGAAAGGGTCTACGTGGTGCCCACCCAGGACCCTCAATACTCCAAAGGAAAACGCACTGGTGACCTCACCCTGGCTGGCAGAGGCCACGCAGGCTGAGACCAAGCACAGAGGCACCCTCGATTTGCACACCCTGGGGCCCGGGCAGTGTCCCAGGATATCCCCAGGAGCTGCTCTGCCCTGGGTCACTTGGCCCTCAGGGGAGAAGGCAAGGGGAAAGGGCCCATGGCTGGGCAGGCACGCACCTTGTCATACCAGCACCGGATACTGAGCTGGCCACACAGGCAGTTGGAGCTGGAGCAGTCGTCCACACATGTGCAGTGCTGGGTGGGGAGGAGAGGGTCAGCTCAGTGGCCTGACCCCCAGCCACTACCTTTTCTGGGGTCCACGTTGGAGGTAGGGTGGTTGGGGTCCCAAGTCGAACGAGACAAAACCCAGCTATCTCTCCGAAGGGGGGGATCCCTGCGCACCCCTCTTCCACACGCTCACCTGCAGGTGGGTGATGTTGCGGTCGATATTCATCATAGACGTCTCGCAGTTCTCAGAGATGTACTTGTAGTCCTCGGGGCAGGGCTCCCCGTCCACACCGTTGACGCACGGAATGGGCACGTTCTCGTAGCCCCGCGCCACGTCCCTGGGGACAGAGGGGGAGATGGGACCGAGGAACGAGACCAAGGATGAGGCCCCCCTGGGTATAAGGAGGGGCTGGGGAGACTCGGATGTGGGGTGGTTTTAGGGGAGCGGAGTGAGCAGATGAAACACAAGATGCCCAGTTAAGTGTGAATTTCAGATCAACACAGAACGATGGTGCAGCAGAAGCGCGTCCCAAATATCAGATGGGGCGCTGGGAAAAGTCGCGCTAAGTGGAGCGGCCGCAAGACACCTGCCGCGGCTAGTCCCGTGCACAGATCGCAGTCCTCATCTTGTCCGGCCATCGCCCCGCAAACGGGCCCCACGTCTCCCACGACTCTCGGCAGCAGCTCCGTGCCCCGGCCCTCACGACAGCACTCACGGCGCCCTGGAATCCCACCTGCAGATGATCTTCTCGGTGCGGATGGCCCGGTTGCCCACGCCCAGCCGCAGCTTGCGGTTCAGCTGGAGCGCGAACCACACGTCGGAGCGTTCCGGGGTCAGGTCCCACGCCGTGTCGCCCTCCTTGTTCCGCAGCTCAGGGTTCGCCCCGCGGGACAGGAACAAGC